TCCTTTCAGAGACCCAGCTGGGCTGTGCAAAAGGATGTGAAGCATTTGTTCCAGGAAACATCTAGACATCGCTAGGGATCACACACAGAGAGAATGGAGAAATCGGGTAATGTAGATGCCTTGCAAATGAGTACTGAACCACATTCACCAAGCCGTCTGGGCTCCATTGCAGGCTGGCCACCTACTGACCTTTCCTGAAGACACTTGGCCTTTCTGAGTTTCATCTGCCACTAGACCCGTGAAAGCACATCAGCACTCACTGTTACAGTCAGGTTTGGTTAGAGTATGTTGCAGTAACAAACAATCCCAAAGTCCCCTTGGTTTCACACTGTACATGGCTTTTTGTTCACCGTGCATTTTCCATAACCGTAGCGTTCTGGTAGTCCAGGGGACCCAGGTGGTGGGAGCTTCATGCTGAGAGCTGCCTCCACAGTTCTCAGGCGAGGTGGAAATGTTGTGTCACATCACATAAAGGCTTAGAAGTCTTTTTGTTTGTTTGTTTTTTATTAAGGAATTTCTTATTCATTTTACATACCAACCAGATTTACACACCAAGATTCCCCTCTCTTCCTTCCTCCTGCCCCTCCAGGCTTAGAAGTCTTTTACCACAATGTAGCAGATATCAATTCTGATTATAGTCCATGTACTAACCCAAGTTAGACAGACATGAATAACTTTAGAAGAGATGGAAACACAGGCTTCTATCAGAAGACTGGAATGAAAGTCCTCTAGGAAACTGGTGAAGTGCATGGGGCACCCTACAGTCCCCAGAAGAGACCCAAACAATGTGTTTACACAATCATGGACCTTATAAACTTTATAAATTAAGATTTTTTTGTATTTTATATTTTCATATATGCTTTAAGTTCCACAAAAGCTACATCTGTTCTGGACAGAAAGAAATCCTTGACTATTTGTCAATAGCTACAATGAACAGTGAAATGCATGTGGCACTATTCTTCCAAACTAATTTGGAAGAGGAGCAAGACACCATTTGACCATAACAGAAAGCTTGGGAAGAGGATGATGGTGTCTACTGTTTCTCCTTCTTCTACGTCCTTTCCTTGGTCTCAGCCTATATCACCACTTCTTGCTTTGTAGGAGTCAGTTTCCTACCTTCTGAAAAATTCTAAACCACCTGAGATCATAGCCTGAATTATAGGCTTCTAGGACTCCAGTGTGGAAGTGACCTTAGAGGTCATAAAGTATCATTTAGCCTCACTCAAGAACATAAAGAAGAAAGAAAGGGGTCACATTTACACAACTAGCTAGGGGGAGCCACGCCCCCAAACTTGGAGTCTCTATCCCTACACTTTCCCTTTCAGAAGTTCACACAGTTCATTAAGTAAGTATTGCTTGACTCTAGTGTCAGGATGAACTGAAATTAGAACTGGCATTCTTGTCACCATGGAGAGATGTCATCACTTTCTGCTTCTGTACCATCAAGAAATATCCCAAGTTACACCATGAATTTCTCTATTTCCTCAAAATTGACTTTTCAGTGCCTTTCCTTGCCTCCATTTTGTATTTAAGACTAACCCAAGAAAGAATCCTCCCTATTCCTCTTCATCTGCACATCACACTCTCTGATCCCTCCTAGCCCTGCACGACACCCCAATACCCCATCCCTGCACCACACCCCAGCACCCCATCCCTGAACCACACCCCAGCACCCCATTCCTGAAGCACACCCCAGTACCCCATCCCTGAACCACACTCCAGCACCCTATTCCTGAATCACACCCCAATACCCCATCCCTGAACCACACTCCAGCACCCTATTCCTGAATC